TCCGTATCTCATAAAACCATGCGGGCCACTCTCGCGCGTCGGCCGCTTGCATGCCGAACTCTTCCCAAAACCTTCATCGCCGACGCGAGGGCGCCGTCATCGTCGCTGGCGCGATCAGTATCCGCGCCGTCACTGGCCGCGCCGTCGTCGCTGTCAGCATCGTCACCAACATCGCCACTATCATCATCGCGTCTACCGCTGTCGACGTCGCCATGCTGCCGCACCCGCCCAAGTCGCCGACTCGCACTCAAGTGCCAGCTGGGATGTGCCCAGCGATCAGCGCAACCGCGGCTGCGTCGGTCGCACCAAAGTAGCTGGCCGCTGCGAGCGCGAGCATGCGCGGGCGATCGCGGCCGCAGAAATGCACCAGCCAGCGCCAAGCACTCATCGTAATCGCCGCCGCGTGGGGGTTGCAAATCAAGTTGCGGGCGGGTGGGCGGGATGTTCGCGCGAGCTGTGGAGTGGACAACTTCAAATTGAGCAACTGCACCGCGTAGATTCTCCTTTCAAAAAAAATATACTCTACCCCCCCCGGCGTTATCGCTACCCCTTTCGGGTATGTAAATCACATATGATTCTGACCACACGTCCATCCTAAACTTGAAATCGCAATGTCCCAGGCCAGCCGGCATCCCCCCCCTGAGGTCCCCTTGTAAAAACACTACGCGGTGACATGTTATGCTCTGACATAACACTTGTTCACGAATCCCTTGCAAAAAACGGGACGAAGTGCACACGCGCGCGTCGTCGCGCGCGCATGCCGAAATCCTTAAAAAACCTTCGGTGCCGGAAGGATTTCGCAATCGAGCTTCCAAAACACAAAGGGAAACACGTGGTTTCGAAACACTGTTTTGCTGGGGAAGCTTCCGCACGAGCTCTTGCGAAATCTTAAGAAAACCATAGGTTTTTCAAGATGTTCACAAAATGCTATTGAACGGGCTTCGCGCGCGCGCATGTCGAAATCCGTCCTTGCGCGTGTGCCGTCGAATCCTCTGCAAAAAATGAAACGAAGTGCAGACGCGCGCGTCGTCGCGCGCGTATGCCGAAAACTTTCCAAATCCATCGGTTTCGGAAGGACTTCAACATCGTGTGTCCAAAAAACCTACAAAAACACATGTTTCGCAACACGGATTTTCAACAAAAGCGTGCGCGCGCGCTCTTGCGTCGTCGTCGTCGTCGTCGTCGCCGTCCTCCCTCCTCCCTCGTCGTCGTCGTCGCCTACGTCGTCCTCTGTCTTTCCTCGTGTTCGTCGTCGTCGTCCTCTTTGGCGTCGTGGTCGTTTCCGTCGTCGTTGTCGCCGCGGTCGTCCTTCCTCCTCCTCCCTCGTCGTCGTCGTCGTCCGTCGTCGGCGTCTCGTCGTCATCCCTCCTATTTCGTCGCCGTCGTCGTCGCCGTCGTCGTTGTCGTCGTCGTCTTCCCTCCTCCCTCGTCGTTGTCGTCGTCGGCGTCGCCGTCCTTCCTCCCTTTTCGTCGTTCGCGTCGTCGCCGTCCTCCCTCCTCCCTCGTCGTTGTCGTCGTTGTCGTCGTTGTCGCCGTCGTCGTTTTTCCTCCTCCCTCGTCGTCGTCTTCGTTGGCGTCGTCGTCGTCTTCGTCGTCGTCGGCGTCGGCGTCGTTGTCGTCGTCGAAGTCGTCGGAGACGTCGTCGGTGTCGTCGTAGTCGTTGTCGTCGGTGTCGGCGTAGTCGGTCTTAAGAGGTTTTGCAAACCAAGTTGCGGGTGGGTGGGTGGGATGTGTGCAAGAGCGTGGGATGTGTCAAATCATGTGTAAAAATCAATTACACCGCATAGATTGCATCACATAGGCTGCCGCGCGAAAGTTCTCTTTTTCAAAAAGAGAGTAGACTCCCCCCCGGGATTATCGGTTCCCTTTTTTCGTATTGCAATGGACATGCGATTCTGCCCCATCGCCCACCCGAACTATGAATCCATACCACCCCAGCCCAACCGACATTGGCCCCTCCGTCATCCTCTGCAAAAAACTATGCGCGCACATTCGCTTACAAAAACTCATAAAATGTCAGAAACCCCTGACAAAAATGAAACAAGATGGCGCGCTGGAATCCTTCAAAAACCTACGGTTCCGTAAGGATTGCAAAATCCGTACGAAACCGAAGGTTGCGAAAACTTCGGGAGAACAAAAAAAAGGTGCACGCGCGTTCTCGCGAACTTTTGGAAAACCATAAGTGTTTCAAAATGTTCAGAAAATCGCGTGTCCCAAAAACATATCAAAACACATGGTTTCGCAACACTGATGTTCAACCAAAGCGTGCGCGCGCGCGCTTGCGTCGTCGTCGTCGTCGTCGCCGTCCTCCCTCCTCCCTCGTCGTCGTCGTCGTCGCCGTCGTCGTCGGCTGTGTCTTTCCTCGTCGTTGTCGTCCTCTTTGGCGTCGTCGTCGTTTCCGTCGTCGTTGCCGCCGTGGTCAACCTTCCTCCTCCCTCGTCGTCGTCGTCATCGTCGGCGTCTCGTCGTCGTCCCTCCTATTTCGTCGCCGTCGTCGTCGTCGTCGTCGTCGTCTTCCCTCCTCCCTCGACGTTGTCGTCGTCGGCGTCGCCGTCCTCCCTCCTTCTTCGTCGTTCGCGTCGTCGGCGTCCTCCCTCCTCACTCGTCGTTGTCGTCGTTGTCGCCGTCGCCGTCCTCCCTCCTCCCTCGTCGTCGTCGTCTTCGTTGGCGTCGTCGTCGTCGTCTTCGTCGTCGTCGTCGGCTTGGTCGTCGTCGTCGTCGTCGGCGTCGTCGTCGTCCTCGTCGTCGGCGTCGTCGTCGCCGTCGTCGTCGTCGGCGTCGTCGGCGTCGTCGTCGCCGTCGTCGTCGGCGTCGTCGGCGTCGTCGTCGTCGGTGTCGCCGTCGCCGTCGTCGTTGTCGTCGTCGTCGAAGTCGTCGGAGACGTCGTCGGTGTCGTCGTAGTCGTCGTCGGCGACGTTGTCGTCGTCGTCGTTGTCGATGTTGTAGTCGGCGTCGCTGTCGTCGCCAAGTGCCATGTGGTACCCACCGTCACGGTCTGAAGAGAAGTCTTGCGACCGAGTTGCGGGTGGGAGGGTGGGATGTTTGCACGAGCAATGGAGAGGACCGCTTCAAGACAGTCAAAGTGAATTGCACCACATAGATTGCACCACGTAGGTTGCACCGCATAGATTGCACAACATTGGTTGCAGCGCATACATTGCACCACCGGTGTTGCACCACAGAGACTGCAAGTACGTAATGCGTGGGGTCCACGCTGGCTAACTTTTATGCATGTGTATACGTATGGGTACGTGTGCCCCATGCGCATGTGCATGTATGTCCGCCACCATGCCCCTGGGCACGGAGTGGACGTGTCCTCTAGTCCTTTGCCGCATCCTCTGAGCCTCAGTCCCCAGTCCCCAATCCTGAGGGGTCTCGTTGTGGGGCCCCGACCCGACATTGACAAATTTGACGGGGTGTGTCGCGTGCCCTCTGGGCTCCACCGCGGCTTGCCGCATGACTGGTTCAGGCCCACGAATGCCCCAAGACGGGCCAAGAGGACCCCACGAGGCCCACTAAGACGGTCCACGAGGGCCCCGAGTCGCCGAAAGATCGTTCCGAGACGCCCAGGATGGCCTTAGGATGACCCAAGAGGCCTCCAAGACGCCCCGAGAGGCCTCCAAGAGGCCTCCCAAGAGGGCCACAAGAGACAAGCATCTCTGATGTGCCTTAGGTGTTGAAAAGAAGCGGCGTTCTCGCCTTCGCTTTTCGACGCTCCAAGACGGCCCAAGAGGCCCCCAAGACCACCCCAAAACAGTTCAAGAGGCCTCCAAGAGGGCCCCAAGACGGCCGAAACGCGCCCCAAGACAGCCCGAGAGGCGCCGAAGACGGCCCCACGAGGGGCCCCAAGACGGCCCCAAAAGGGGCCCAACAGAGGGAACACGAACCGAAAACTCGAGCCTTCCGCCCAACGAGGCCCCAAGAGGCGCCAAGAGGCGCCCAGGAGGCCCCGAGAGGCCCCCAAGAGGCCTCCAAGAGGCCCCAGGACGGCCCCCAAGATGCCTCCAAAATGCCTCTAAGATGCCCCCGAGAGGCATCCCACGAGATCCTAACGAACATCAAACAGGCTTCATACCCACAAACCAAGCACAGTGGCAGGATGGGCCGAAGGCCATTCGATATCCGCATACATATGTACACATGTCTTACTTGGGTGAGTGGTTACTGACCGCCGCAATTCTACAATTTGCACGTCGAGGTCAAATTCGACTTGCGTTCCAAATTCAAGTTCGCGCGCCTTGCGGTTACAATTGAATCGCCAACGGATTTGAATCTCGATATGCATAATGATGTCCATTTCGACGTGCGTATCGGGTTGCGGGTTGATTTGCATTTCTGATTACACGTCGGTGTGCAGCTCGAATTGCATGTCGATGTCCATGTCTTATGTATGTGCATATCGATTACATGCCGACTTGCATGTCGACGCCAAGTTAGATGCGCATGTCGATTTACAAGACGAGTTGCAGTGCGACTGCGACTGCAATCGAATTTCGAGATGCGTGTCGAGTTGCGTTTACATGCAAGCTGCTATGTGCAGTTCGATGTGCATGTCGGTTCTCGCCGATATGAAAGTCAAATTCAGATCGACTTAATGTTCCGTGCGCATGTCGATGTGCGTGGTGACTGTAATCGGGTGTGTTGCTCGATGTGCACGTCGATCTGCACTCAAATTGCCGCTGGACCACCCACGGGGCAGCCCGCGGGATAACCGCCAGACAGCCACGAGACAACGTGTCACAACCCGACGGCGAGGAGCCGCACGGCCCGAGAAGAAGAATGTGTTGGGAGACCTCCGGCCCCAGCTACGCCGGCACATCTCCGCCCTCGAGCAGCTTCGCCTCGTCCGCACTCTGGACACGGAGCGAAGACGAAACTGATCTCCCAGTCGGGGTCGCTTCGTCCTCGTTCCCAACCTCCGGTCTAAGAAGAAGAAGAAGGTCTAGGGGCGCGTCGTCGAGCAGGGGCGCGGGGTGATGGTTCGTTCGGCCCTGTGCGGCCAGAGTGTAGCCGTTCTTGAAGTAGGTCACCGAGAAGTTGTCCTGGTTAGGCCCCGTGTCTCGGAGGCCTTTGCAGCCTCGCGAGGTCGCCAACGATCCACCCACACCGATCCAGAAGGAGAAGAAGGAGGAGCAGCAGTAGAAAGGAGGGGGATAAGGAGAGGGAGAGACGAGGCGGGAGAGGGGAAGCGGAGAATGAGAGAGGAGGAAGAGGAGGAAGAGGAGGAAGAGGAGGAAGAGGAGGAAGAGGAGGAAGAGGAGGAGGGGGAGGAGGAAAGTAGGAGGATAAAAGGACGACGAGGGGGGGGAGGACGAGATAAGTAGACCTAGGATCGGCTGGGGCAGGGTCGGTGTGGGTGGACAGAGTTGTTGACAATCAAATAATTGGCATGCCCCGACAGCCTTTCTGGCAGGGGAGTCCACAGGAAGGGCACCCACTCGGCCCTCTGCCGAAAGCTGTCCTCCTCCCTCGTCCTCCTCATCCTCATCCGAATCCTCCTTCCCTCCAACTCCCCCTCCTCCTCCCCCTACTCCTCCCCCTCGTCCCTCTCCTCCTCCCCGCCCTCTGCGTAAGAATTTGTGAGTCCACTCATCCAAGAGGAAGGCGAAGGTTGTATGTTATCTGGGGTGGGTATCCTGGCTTGTGAGATGCTCTAGCGGGTTATAAGGGGTCCTCCTCCTCCTCCTTCTGCTGCTGCTCCTCCTCCTCCTCCTCCTGCTCATCCTCATCATCATCCTCATCCTCATCATCATCCTCATCCTCCTCCTCATCATCATCAACCCCTCCGTCCCCTCCTTCTGCTTCTCACCCTCCCCCCTCCTCATCATCAGCTCCTCCTCATCCTTCTCCTTCTCCTTCTCCTCCTCCTCCTCCTCCTCCTCCTCCTCCTCCTCCTCCTCCTCTCTCCTCCTCCTCCTCCTCCTCCTCCTCCTCCTCCTCCTCCTCCTCCTCCTCCTCCTCCTCCTCCTCCTCCTCCTCCTCCTCCTCCTCCTCCTCCTCCTCCTCCTCCTCCTCCTCCTCCTCCTCCTCCTCCTCCTCCTCCTCCTCCTCCTCCTCCTCCTCCTCCTCCTCCTCCTCCTCCTCCTCCTCCTCCTCTGTCTTATCGCCAGCATCACCGTCAACATCATCGTCAGCATCATCAGATCAGCGCCAGCGGAATCAAACGCATCATCAACAGCAGCGCCTGCACCCTCATCAGCATCATCCTCATCAGTATCCTCATCGTCAGCTTCAGCATCAGTTTCAGCATCATCATCAGCAAAATAGCATCATCCTCATCAGCAGCATCACCATCATCAGCATCGTCATCAGCATCCTCAGCATCATGAGCAACAGGAGCAGTATCAGCAACATCAGCATCAGCATCAGCATCACCCTCATCATCGTCGTCAGCATCATCACCACAAGCAGCAGCATCATCAGCATGATCATCAACGTCGGCATCATGGCAATCAGTATAAGTAGAATCATCATCATCTCCATTATCACCGCCATCGCCATCATTATTACCGTAATAACACGATCGTCGACATCATCATCAGCATCGTCATCAGCAGCAGCATCAATATCACCACCACCAACACCACCACAACCATCATCAGCATCGTCATCATAATCAGCACCTTCGTCGGCATGGTGAGCATCCTCATCAACATACTCAACATCGCCATCATCAGCATCAGGAGCATCAGCATCATCAGCCGCATCACCACCAACGTCAACAGCAGCAACCTCGCCAACATATTCGTCATCAGCATGATCATGACCAGCATCGTAATCACCACCCCCATCGTCCTCTGCTGGCTCCGCCTCGTCCACATCCGCGTCATCCTCGTCATGTTGCCCCTCCGCCGCCTGCTCCTCCTCCTCCTCCTCTTCCTCCTCCTGCTCCTCCTCCCTATCATTCCTCGCCTCATCCAACTCTTCCTCCTACTTGTCCTCCTCCTCCCCCTCTTCATCCTCCGCCTCCACCTCCTCATCCTCCTCCCCATGGCATTCCTCTTCCTGTCTGCGATTCCCACATCTTAAGGCAGAGTTCGGCCCGCTGACTCTGGCCTCCTCCTCCCCCGTCCTCCTCGTCCTCGTCCTCGTCCCATTCGACTCCGTATTCTCACACTCCGGATGCTGCACATCCTCCTCCTCATCCTCCTCCACTGCATCATCGTCATACTCAGCATCAACAGCATCGTCATCAGCAGCATCAGTATGAGCATCATCCTCAGCATCAGAATCAGCAGCAGCAGCATCATCGTCAGCAGTGTCATCATCATCACCACCATCAGCATCATCATGAGCAGCATCGTCAGCATCATCACCATCATCAGCAGCATCAGCAGCAGCATCAGTAGCATCGTCTGCATCATCAGCATCATCAGCAGCAGCATCATCATCAGCAGCAGCAGCAGCCGCATCATCTGCGTCATCAGCAGCAGCAGCATTAGCATCAGCAGCATCGCCACAAGAATCATCAACATAATGAACATGACCATCACCGCCGTCAACAACAGCACAATTGTTGTCCGCTGTACCCTCCGCCTCGTCCTCCTACTCGTCGTCCTACTCAGTCTGCCCCTCCTCCACGTCCTTCTCCTCCTCCTCCTGATCCTCCCTCTCCAAATCCGACTATCCCCCTACTGCGCGTCTTCTCTTCCTCCCCCTCCTTATCCTCGGCCATCATGATATTCACGTCATGCCTGCGGCTACCCCATCGTCCTAAGCATCATCATCATCATCATCATCATCATCATCAGCATCATCATCATCATCATCATCATCATCATCACCATCATCATCATCATCATCATCAGCATCAGCATCAGCATCAGCAGCAGCAGCATCATCATCATCAGCAGCAGCAGCAGCATTATCATCATCAGCATCAGCATCAGCATCGTCAATCATACTCTGCATCATCGTCACCATCAGCATCACCGTCGTCGTCATCATAATCATCAGCATCATCATCAGCAGCAGCATCATAATCAGCAGCATTGTCATCATCGTCATCATCATCACCACCAACAACAACGCATCATCGGATAATCATCATCATCGCCATCATGATCATCAGCATCAGCATCGTCACCATCATCAGCAGCATCATCAGCCTCATCATCATCGTCATCATCAACAACATCAGCATCATCATCACCATCGTCGTCATCATAATTATCAGCAGCAGCATCATCATCAGCAGCAGCATCCTCGTCATCATCATCAGCATCAGCAGCATCATCCGCAGCATCATCATCAGCATCATCAGCATCATCTTCAATATCAAGATCAACATCAGATGCAGCAACAGCATCGTCATCATCGTCATCATCATCCTCATCATCATCACAATCATCATCCTCGTCGTCAGCATCATCATCACCAAAAGCATCATCATCATCATCACCATCACCATCACCATCATCATCATCATCATCATCATCAGCATCATCATCATTGTCATCATCGTCCAGCATCGTCAGCATCATGAACATCAACATCATCGTCGTCATCATCTCCATCATCGCCGTCATCACAATCATCAGCAGCAGCTGCAACATCATCATCAGCAGCATCATCAACTCAATCATCAGAATCATAAGCATCGCCATCACCATCATCTTCACCAGCATCATCATCATCGTCATCCTCACCATCATTCGCCAACTCATTATATTCATCATGCTGATCACCCTCCCCAACAATCCTCATCCTCGTCCTTATCATTATCATCCTCTTCTTCCCCCTCCTGCGACAATTCCCCGTCCTCCTCCTCCTGCTCCTCCTCCGGCGCTTCTCACTTCTCTTCACGCTCCTCCTCATCCTCCTCATCGCTCGTGCAGTCGCCCACCAAAGACCTTCTTTACACGCGAGCCGTGATGCCGAGAGCGACATTGTCCATCATTCCGAAGCCTTGCTTGACGGATAGGCGGCAGTGTTACAGATTGGACGCGGACATGCCCATCACTGGGAACGTCTTCACGGACGGCTCGGGCAAGACCTGAGCGGCCTGGCCCAAAATGAATCGGATAGGCTGGGACCTCGTCGTGATGGACAAGCATCGCCTCGAGGGAGTGGCGCACGGCGCCCTGCCAGGCTACGACCAGTCCGTGCCGCGAGCGGAGCTCCAAGCCGTGGTCCAGGCGCTCCGTTACTGCGTTCCCATGGTCTTCAAAACGGACTGCCTGAACATAGTCGAGGGCCTCCAGAGGGGCCGCAACTGGGGCCTGCACATCAGGCGTGAGGACTCGAACCTGCGGCAGGCTCTGTGGCAAGCCATGGACGAGCAGGGCGGCCTCTCCGACACACTCTCCATCGAGCAGACCTCTGGCCATCAGAGAGAGTACTGCCTCGATCACGTGGGGAATGGCTGGGCCGTCGGTGCGGCCAAGAAGGGCCTTGCTCTGCATGAATCATGCCCCGACGCAGGCGGCCGAGGCGCATGCTGGCACTCCTCCATCGCTCGCGTCAGATCGAGCATGCGCCAGATCGAGAGGCCACCGCTGGCAGGAAGACCAGGTGCCGTGCGAGGGCACCCGAACGCGCCTGGCCTGGGACCGCTGGAGGTCGAGCTGGGACCAGACCTGGACGAGCGCGGGCGGGCAGCATCACCATCACCATCACCATCACCACCACCACCACCACCACCACCACCACCATCATCATCATCATCATCATCATCATCATCATCATCATCATCATCATCATCATGATCATCATCATCATCATCATCATCATCATCATCATCATCATCATCATCATCATCATCATCATCAGCAGCATCATCATCATCATCATCATCATCATCATCATCATCATCATCATCATCATCATCATCATCATCATCATCATCATCATTCTCATCATCACCACCATCATCATCATCATCATCAGCAGCATCAGCATCGTCATCATCAGCATCGTCATCATCCACCCTTGTTTTGCTACGAGGAGCTGGGTGGGCGCCCTTTCTGCCGAGACTCCCCGCTGGCAAGCGATGACCGGCGGGAGCGAGCCCGGAAGCTTCTTCGGCTCGTGCAGGAAGGACCACTTCCTCTCGTCCATGTGGGACTGGCCTCTGGTCCGCGGCATCATAATCACAACCGTCACCACCTCCATCTTCACCACCCTCATCAGCACCACCCCTGTTCTCCTCCCCGCTCGCCCTTCCCGCTCCTCCTCCTCCTCCTCCTCCTCCTGCTCCTGCTCCTCCTCCTCCTCATCATCCTCCTCCCTTCCCCTTATGCATTATCCGAATACTCCCCCTCCTGCTCCATTCTCCCTTCTTCCCCCATCCTGCTCAGCATCATCATCTTCCTCTTCGTCACAGCCCTCACCATCGTCATAATCGTCATCATCACAACCACTGACATCATCATCATCATCATCAGCAGCAGCATCATCAACATCATCAGCATCATCATCATCAGTAGCATCAGCATCATCAGCAGCATCATCAGCATCATCAGCATCATCAGCATCATCAGCGGCATCAGCACCATCATCAGCAGCAGCAGCATCAACATCATAATTATCATCAGCGGCATCAGCATCAGCATCATCATCATCATCCTCATCATCAGCATCCTCATCATCACAACCACCACCACCACCACCACCATCGTCAGCAGCAGCATCATCATCATCATCATCATCACCACCGTCATCCTCAGCAGCAGCATCAGCATCATTATCAGCACTATCATCAGCATCATCTTCATCAGCGCAGTATCATCCTCATCACCAGCATCCTCAGCATCATCAGCATCAGCATCAGCATCATCCGATTCCTCCTCATCATCATTGATCGTCATCGTCATCGTCATCATCATCCTCATCGTGATCAACATCATCATCATCACCATAATCGTCGTCGTTACCATCACGTCAGCATCGCCACCACCAAAACTATCGACATCAACATCACCATCGTCGTCGTGCTCTCGCATCCGCGTCCCGTTCCTCCTTCTCTTCCTGTTTCTCTTCCCCCTCCCCCTCTCCCACGTTGTCATCCTGCTCCCCCATCACCTCCCCCCTCCCTTTTCCTCCTCCTCCCCCTCCTCCTCCTTTTCCTCCTACTCCTCCTTCTTCTGCTGCTGCTCCTCCTCCTCCTCATCCTCCTCCTCATCATCCTCTTTCTCAGTCTCATCCACATCCTCATCCTCATCCTCATCCTCTCCCTTCTCTACCACCCCTTGGATTAAAAAGTCCGGATCGGCACTGCAGGCCCCCTTGCATCGTCGCTCCCCGAGGGGTAAACATGACTGGAAAGAAATGCCAAGCAGAATCGCAACTTCCAAGCAACATAACTGGGGCCGGAAATTCATTTGCGAGGAAGTCCCAAGCGAAATCGCCAATTTCCGGTCGCCACTGAGAATTTCCGGTCGCCTGAAAAGCGCCCGGAAATTTTTATGGAGGATGAATGCGGGTTTCCGGTCGTCACCCCATTTGGCGATTATAATATTAGAGGGGGTGAGGATGGACCGGAAATTTAACCGTGGCGGCCCCTGCAACATTGTACCGGGGGCCCGTGGCCTAACGGGAGCCGAACAACAAGGCTTATTCCCCGACCTCTGCGGTCTGGACTTTTTATTCCAGGGGGTTGTACTCTTCCCCCTCCTTTCAATCCTCCTCTGACTGCCCCCCTTTCAACCACCCTGCCCCACTCCACGTTACCCCGACTGGCTTCGACCCTCGCCTCGAACACGGCCGTGTCCGCTTCCAATCCCCCGATCATCACTCGCCATCCTGCTTCCCCACACTTCTATTCAGCGACCGCACACGCGCGGCGGCGCGGTGGTAAAGTCGGGCAGGCGAGCGGTCAAGACCGAGAAGGTGGCGCGCAGCGAAGCGGCAGCCGCCCAACGCAGGTGCAGGACAAGAACGAGCCAGCGACACGGCAAGCGCAAGGAGGGCCAGGGAAAGCGCGGAGCAAGAGCAACCGCCAACTCCAGGGGGGAAGGAGGGAGGAAGGAGGAAAGACGGACAGGGACTGCCAGGGCCGGCGGACGGACCAGGCGGGGAGAAGGGCAGAGGGAGACCACGGCGGCCACACGCAAAGGCAAGGGACGACACGAGAGCCAGCCTGCTTCAAACACATGCATGTATACATATATATATATATATATATGTGTATTGAAGGAGGAGTAGGAGAGGAGGAGGAGGAGGAGGAGGAGGAGGAGGAGGAGGAGGAGGAGGAGGAGGAGGAGGAGCGCGCGGCCACTTGACCATCCACCAAGCCGCGGTGAGAAACGCACAAGAGAACGAATCAGAAAATGTGCGACTGTGGCACCACACACACATATAGATATATATATATATATAGAGAGAGAGAGATGTACACACACACACACTTTGGGGCGTCGCGACCCCGCGCGCGGCGACGGGGCGTAGAAGGTCGAAAGGCACTGTAGCGCACGCATCTACGCCCGGCCGAGCACTCGGAGACCATTCAGGGCCTCGCAGCCGCCATCAGCCATAACAATCCGGGCATGGCGGGGAGGGGGCGGAAGTTCTGTCTAAGACAGAACTTTGGCGAGGCAGAAAGTGACATGAACTGAATGGCAGGGAGAGCGAGTAAGCAGAGTGGACCGACAAAGAGTGCGAAGCCGTAAAAATGCGCAGGCTGACGGAGCCGCGAAAGCCGGCAGAACCGGACACACACACACACACACACACACATGTATTTATATTTACACATATCCATCTGGGAATATCACGCACGGTTTTGGCGCCGCGGCCTCGCACGCAGCGACGAGGCGTAGAAAGTCAAGAGGTGAGGACGAGCGGCGGACGCGCCCGGCCGGGCCCTCAGAAGAAACAGGCAGGGATCCGCCCAAAAGGATCAACCATGCCAGACGCATACCCGGCCATGGGCAGCGTGTGCGGAAGGGAAGACGAGGACGAAGAGATACGCCGACAGGCCACTGCGACAGTAAGCGGAGCCAAGACCAGGCGAAGCGGTGCCAAGGGAAGCCGGCGAGCAAGAGAAGCAAGACAGGCCAGGGGGCGCAGTGCAAGCCAGAAAGGCCGGGCGTGGCAAGGACAGGCAGCAGAGAGGCGACGACACGCGCAGCCAGGCACCAGCGCAACGGGCACGGTGAGGGAGACAACGCGCCACGACGGCGGGTGCGGCGCACCAGGACCGCCGCGAAGGAGCAAAGAGGGGCCGCAGCGCAAACGCGCAGACCCCGAGCAATGAAACGGAGTCAAGGGCGCACCGGGGGGGGGACACCCACGAAAAGTGGACCACGTCCGCACCATCAGCCAGCCCCAGCATCGCCGCCCCTCCTAGGTGCGAGGGATTGGGGCAGCGACGTGCGCCACACCAGGAGGGGTAGCAGGGGATGCCCAAGCGGGGTCCCCGCGTGCCACTGAAGGTTGGGAGCTTCCTTAGGCCGGGTCAGGCGTACGACGCCTGCGGTGCGGCGTGGGCCCTTTTGGGCGGGGGGGGGGCTGGGGGAGCGCCCGCGGTAGCAGTCCCCTAAGGCAGCTGGGGTACCCATCGCCGAACGAGGGAAGCCCTCCCGCTCGGCCAAGGCGGTGGCGGGCAAGGGCCGACCAGGGCAGGCGGCGAGGCGACCCAGGCCTGCTTTATGCTGGGTGGGGGACGAGCGGCGTTCGAAGGATCCTGGAAGGCGAAGCGTTTCTGGGGGGCCCTGCCCTCACGCGCTGGGCCATGCTTCGCGTAGGCCACCACGGCATGGGCACGTCGTCCAGAAAGCTGGTGAACTGCGCCGCAATGTCACACTTGGCGTCGCCGCGTTTGCCACCCATGAGAATGGGCCCGCGCAGGTGGTACCACACGCGCCACAGTTTGCCGGCCTCGATCATTGTTGGGACCCCCCCGACCACGCATCGCGTTCATCCGCTAACACACACACACAGACACACACACACACACACTTTCAGAGGGACGGCGCTGGCGGATAGACACACACACACACTTTCAAGCCGGCGGCGCAGAGGATCCACTGGCACGAGCAGCATATGTAATAAGTGCGAATTGCGACCGAACGCTGTCGAAGGCAAAGTGCACAAAACGTTGCACACTGTCAAATGCAGCAAGGGGTGGTGTGAACGAGGAGCTGCAAATCCGAGCGAAGCGTGCAGCGGCCAGAAGACCGAGGAGGCAACTCAACTCGAAGTAAACTGAAGCGCGAGCAGTCTGGTGCGAATTGGCGGCCACTGAACCACCAAAGAGCATTGTTAGACAATGAAACGCAAGAAAGAACTGAAAGAACTGTGAAGGCTGCCAAACCCGCCGATGTGGAAAGAAACGATGCTTCGACACGACAACCAGCACTGTAATTGAAGCGTTACACCCAGGGGCTAACTGCGGCCGCTGAATCACCAGAGCGGTGTAGGGACACACACACACATACACATACATTATTTTGGCAATCGCGGCATCGCGTGCATCGTAGAGGCGGAACACGTCGAGCAGACGGCGCAGAGCTAACGCGCGCGGCTGGGCCCTCAGACGCAGGACCGCGTTGGACCGAACGCACATGCCACCAGGGCAGGGTAGGGAGTGAGAGAACTGAGACAGCGTCCGGAGACGGAGACGGCAGCACCGACGAACGACACCGACGGGGAGCGGAGAGAGCGCCTGGGCTGACACCCGACGAGCCGGCTGGCCAGGCGAGCTCCCCGCGATGGAGGCGGCGACGGAGGACGGAGATGCGCCACGGCAATCCCGCGGCGGGGGGCTTGAGCGGGAAGACCACCAACAGCGAGAAGCTGCAGGAGGAGGGGCGCGACGCCGCACACGGCATAAACATACACACTTTGTTTTGGCGTCGCGGCCACGCGCGCAGCGGCGCGGCGTAAAAACTTTCACACGCACACGCACACGCACACACACACACACAAACACACACACACACACAAACACGCGCGCACAAACACACACACACACACACACACACACACACACACGCACAAGCACGCACTTTCGGTCATAGCGGCCCGGCGACTTGCCAGGGTCGGGCGCCCGCACGGCGGGAGCCGCGCGCGCACGCAGTGCCGGCGGGAAGAGAAGGAAGACGGCTGGCCCCTCACGGGGCAGTGGCCG